CCTAGTCCCAAGCTGTTGCTGGAAGATGTCCTTGCTGTTGAGACCCTGAGACCCTCAGGAATCAGACGAAGAGTCTTCCTGGCTGTCTGGCAGAGGACAGAGTCTCTTTCGTCTCTGAACATAAACGTGTTTGCTAAACTGTTCCTACCCCAAGGCTCAGAATGTTTCGTTCCCATGAGATAATTTCTCTAACTTCTACCAAGGGGAAGAACAGAGTGGATTGTGTTCTCACTGAGGCTTCATGGCTTATGTTCCATCATGAGACTCTGCCGTGTGACATTTCTGTTGAGGCTGGAGGAAGCCTGCCTTTCAAGAGCCCAGACGAGGAGGGGAGAGTTGTAATTGGATGTCAGGAATGTCAGTGATTGGCCACGGAGCAGGGAGCCCCGTTTCCTCAAGGGAGGATGAGTGGAGACTGGGTCCTGTCCATAACCTCTCGTTGCTCCTGCAGCTGGGTTGGAGGGAGGACGTATGCAGGGGGATCTGCTTGAATCTTTAAGGTACTTCGACAGCTCAGGATGGAAAACTCAACCATCAAAGGATTGAAAAACAGTATGGGGGAAAATACCCAATTATTAACAATATCTAGAGTTGAAAATAATAGGGCTTTATTTGAAAATCCCTTCTCCGTGAGCTCTGTCTCTTTGGGAGGTCTGTACTAACTTATCAGAAGAGCTGAATATCATTTTAATTTATCAAAAGAGGTGGCACAGAGAAGGAAGTCCTTCTTGACCCTTCCATACAGCCCCTGAAGGAGCGTCCCTGGGAAGCTGCTGACGGGGAGGAATGTGGTGGGCGTCAGGTCGACCAGATGACTGAATTGCTTTAGGGCAGACACCTGAAATGTGGGCCTTGTGTGGGGGGCAGGTGGGAGGTAACCCCCAGACAATGGCATCCCCACCTCACCCTGGGCCCTTCTTGTCCCACAGGTCGGCATCGTGGGGCGGACAGGAGCTGGGAAGTCGTCCCTGACCCTGGGCTTGTTTCGGATCAATGAGTCTGCTGAGGGGGAGATCGTTATTGATGACATCAACATTGCCAAGATCGGCCTGCACGATCTGCGCTTCAAGATCACCATCATCCCGCAGGTGGGGTCTGGGTACACCAAGGGCGTGAGTTGGGGGCGGTGAGAGTGATGTAGGTATGTTTTCAGGACAAATATAAATGTATTCCTACTTTATTATTTTCATCATTCTCATTGAAATGATACTGTTTCTTCGCCACTGAATCTCCCCTTAGCATATGAGTAACAGTGGGAATTAACCGGGTTATCATTCCTTCACTCCTGCTGGCTTCACTCAGGACAAGAACAAGCCTCTCAAGAGCCAGGCGAGAAATAGGAATTTTCTAGACTGATTTCTGTAGCTGGGATTCCCTCATGTGTTACCTTGTCGTGTTATTTTCCCTAAAATTTTTTTCTGAGATTCTCCTTTGGAGGCAGGGAACAGGGAGGAATCCACAGTACTTTATAATTAGGAATTACCCATGCTGCTTCTCCCCACCAGAAGGTTCCGTGTATTGGAGACTCTGGGAAGCGTTCCCAAAAGAAATTTTATTTCACGTAACCCAGGATTTTCCAAACCTTTGCCCCCCATTACTAACATCTCCAGAAATAGTGATTCCAAGGAACTCTGGAACCCCATCTTGAGCGATTCCGGCCAGACTGTTCATGTCGCACCTGTTTGCCCCGGGTGCAGGCATCATGACGTGAGCCTCACCTGCCGTCTGCCATCTTTTCTCGAACAGGACCCTGTTTTGTTCTCGGGTTCCCTCCGCATGAACCTGGACCCGTTCAGCCAGTACTCAGATGAGGAAGTCTGGACGTCCCTGGAGCTGGCTCACCTGAAGGACTTCGTGTCTGCCCTTCCCGACAAGCTGAACCACGAGTGTGCGGAAGGCGGGGAGAACCTGAGGTAAGCAGGGGTGTGAGGCCCTGACGGCTCTCCTCGGCTCCGCCTCCGTCGAGGTGTTTGAAGAGTCTGTCCTCCTGCATCTGTGTCAGGCCTGGGTTCGAGTCCCAGCTCTGCCACGGATGAGCCATTTTCTCTTCACTTCTTGTAGCCTCGATTTCAGCATCTGTAAAGTGGGCTGTAGTCCAGGCCCGTTGTACCATGAGGTATAAAACCAGGATGGCCAATGTGGTTCTTTTCTTACACCGGGTTTAGTCAATTGAGTGGGACTGTTAGTTCAGCTATTGAAAGGCTTCTCTCTTGGTCAGTAAATGGCACTTTTCCGAGCCCTTCGCGTCACCACCTGCTGCCCCAGCTGCCCTGGCCCTTGTCCCAGGATCCCCAGGATGCGCCCATGACCCAGCAACTACAGTGTGACTGCCCGGCGCCGCAGGGAACCTGAGTTCTGCTCCAGTGTCCTTCATGCCTCATCCATCCCTGTGACAGCCAACCACCAATCCTCAGATGCGTTCAGCTGCTCAGACCCTTGGGGGTGGTCAGCCAGGCGGCCCTGCTGTTCTCGGCTCCCTCATATGGCTGGGGGTCCGCTGGGGCAGTTCGGGTCGGCTCCAGCCGTCCCTCATCCCCCCGCGGACCAGCCCAGGCATGTTGTCATGGCCATAGCGGAGGTGCGCATTCCGTCTGCGAGCCTCCGCGGGCCTCGTTTGCCGGCGTCTCGTCGACCAAAGCAAGACGTGTGGTTGAGTCCAGAGTCAAGTGGGAGGACCTACAGAAGACACAGATATGGGGTCATTTTGTTACCTGTCCCGTGGCCCATGCTGAGCTGGTCACACGTTTTGGATATCCCCGCCGAGCCCAACTCCGGCTCCACAGCTGGAACGTCCTGAGCAGTCACCGGCGTCGGGCACGGGGAGCGGGGAGTCGCAGGGCGCTCCGGGCCTTGGCAACACCTAGTGTCCCCTTCCCTGCTCCCAGCTCCGGCCTGGGCTCAGGGTCGGGGGGGGGGTGGTTTTGACCCTCTGTCCCCTGGTCTTTTCCTCCTGGTCTAGCGTCGGGCAGCGCCAGCTTGTGTGCCTGGCCCGGGCTCTGCTGCGGAAGACCAAGATCCTTGTGTTGGACGAGGCCACGGCGGCCGTGGACCTCGAAACGGACAACCTCATCCAGTCGACCATCCGGACGCAGTTTGAGGACTGCACCGTGCTCACCATTGCACACCGGCTCAACACCATCATGGACTACACGAGGTGACTTCGCCGGCACGGATGCTCGGCACCGTCCTGTGTCTAGGGACAGCCCTCTCTTCCCCCTGGGTATTTCTGACATCCCTCCATCATGTATTCAGGCCACACACGGGTGGAGCGCCCGCCACATTCTCGGCCCTATTCTAGGCACTAGGGTCTCAGCAAGGAGGTATCAGACAGGGAGCCTGCCTGAGGGACCTTCGCGGTCACTTGGGGGCTGGGTGTGGAGACAGACAATAAGCACATGAACACACGGAAGCACACGGTGCTGGGAACGAAGTAGAAAACGTGAGAGCCCTTCCCGGGGTAAGCACCCCAGGACTTCGACCGGAAGGGATCAAGGATGGCAGCCAGTTGGAAGGCTACTGCAGGAGTCCTAACAGAAGGTGTTAGGGTCCTGACCCAAAGCAGGGATTTGTTCGGGTGGCTCTTTGGGGGCACAAGATGCAGACCCCTTCCCTTCCCCTCACGTCTGTGTCTCCTCCTCTTGCAGGGTCATCGTCCTGGACAAGGGAGAGATCCGGGAGTGCGGCCAGCCCTCCGACCTCCTCCAGCAGAGAGGTCTTTTCTACAGCATGGCCAAAGATGCTGGCCTGGTGTGAGCCCCAGAGCTGGTGCATCTGGTCAGAATTGCAGGGCCAACACGCCAGCGTCGGGATGACGTTCTGAGGCACCGTCCTTGGGAACCCAAGCCTCCTGTATACTGAAACCAAAAAAAAAAAAAAAGAGAGAAAAAAAACCACAACAACCCCCAAAACCAAAACTCACAAAGCAGCCACCGTCTGGCCCCCGAGCTGGAATTGGCCGTGAAGACGCGGGAGAGACACAAGAGATGCAGCCCACCCAGAACGCTCCCGCCCTTGCCTCCGCGGCCCCTGCAAGACGCACATATATTCTCAGGCCCCCCGGGAACGCACGCCCGTGCTCTTGGTGCTCTGTGAGGAGGTTTTGGCAGCCAGACTGCCAGAGAAAGTGGTTTCATAAAATAACGCTAGTGACCAAATCCAGCCAACTGCCTCAGATCTCTCCAGCCAAAGTCAACGGATTCCGTCTTCGAGAGGCTCCCCGCCCCCCGACGGCTGTCCCCAGCAACCCCCGGCGTGCTCTGTCTCCTTGGGGCTGCAGGTGGGAGTGAGGGGCCTGGGAAGATGACTCTCCCCTCAGGCAGTACCCTGAGGGCCACGGACACTCCTCTTACCAACCATCTGGTCTTCCAGGCGCTCAGACGCTGGGAACCCGTGTCCCAGCCCTGCTCTCCCGGTACTCGCCTCCCAGGCCAGGGGCAGCCTCCACGTCCCTGGACTTCTCGCTGACGGGACTCGGTGGGACTTGCGGGCTGTCTGCACCGTGAGAGCATCTCGGTACCGACTCCCCAGCCCGGCCGCTCAGCTCCTCATTCCTTCCAGTCTTCTCCTTGCTTTCCTTGCTCCCTCTTTCTGCCCATCACTAGGATGGCTTTCCTGCCCTAGTCCCTGAGAGAGAAGACCTGCTGATGGTGATGAAGCGGTCAAGGCCAAGAGGGCTAGGTACCTCCCAGGTACGGCCGGTTGGCACTGAAAAGGGCCCCGTGGAGTCTCCTCCGTGTGGTTAGATTTTTTTTTTCCCTCGGCCCTGGCATCTGGGTGGCTTGAAGGATGGCAGTGTGGAGAACTCGGCGTTTCATGACCGAGTCTCTTCCAGGACAAGAAAAGGACCCATTCACAAATACGAGTGATGGCTTTTTCTTTTTTCTTTTTTTTTTTT